CGTCTCAAAAAAAAAAAAAAAAAGAATTTTGGATTTAGAAGTGATTTTCCAGATTTAAACTCTAAGGAATGCCTTGGGGAGCAAATTGAAAACTAAACACTTGGGGCTTTGAGTTTCCTAGCCTTGCTTCAGTTTGATCTTTTGTTTTTCATTGTATGGTTTTGCTTAGAAAAAGTTTAGTAACTACTTTATAATAAAATTAAGGAGATGACTTAGGCCTGTGTTCTTGTTCTGTATATTTAACTACACATTTTTGAGTAATGGTCAAATTTGACCACAAGGATACAAGGAGATCATGATTCCAGGGTGGAGGAATATTCCTAATGGGTATAAAGGAACTCTACAACTCACTTTTGGACTTCTGGAATTTCTCTTTGGTTCTCTTTTTCTTTAGATTGTTATTTCTATGATATCACAATTATTGAACAATAAAAGTGTACTAGACACTGTGCTGTGTACTCACAGACATTATCTCATGTAATCCTCATAATCCTATGAGGGTTTTATAGAGGAAGCTGAGTCCTGGACATAATAACTTGCCCAGTGTCAGGTAGCTTTCAGAGATCAGATTTGAAATGAAGTCATTCTGACTCTTAGGTTACTAAACCTTATGATGTATAGCCTCATGCTGTTTTCTCTCTTTTTTCTACATACCTGATAATACTAAAAACAATATGGGAGAAGCCAGGGTAGGATCATTTCAGTGGACGACAAAGGTAGTATCTGGGGAAATGAAAGAATGGAACGGTCAGTGTGGGGAAATTCTGCTTTTAGCCTTAAGAATTTTTTTTTTTCTTGAGACACAGTCTCACTCTGTCACCCAGCTGGAATGCAGTGGCGTGATCTCAGCTCACTGCAACCTCTGCCTCCCGGGTTCAAGCGATTCTCCTGCCTCAGCCTCCCGAGCAGCTGGGAGTACAGGCACGCACCACCACGCCCAGCTAATTTTTGTATTTTTTGTAGAGACGGGGTTTCAACCATATTGGCCAGGCTGTTCTCAAACTCCTGACCTCATAATCCACCCGCCTCAGCCTCCCAAAGTGCTAGGATTACAGGCATGAGCCACCACGCCCGGCCAAGAATTTTAACTTGAGTTTACATTTCTTATCTGTCACCATTACATTGGTAGCTTTATAGTCCCAGATCAGGGGCAAGTCTTGGGGGAAAAGAGCAAGATGATTTCCCCTGCGTTTTGATCTAGATGCTAGATGTCAGGCTAGGCAGGAATATTTCAGACTGGAACACTGAAGTGTAGTAGGCTACTTGGAGGTTTGGAACCAAAGCTACAGCTAATCATTACTGAGTTTTGTGTAACTTTGTGTGGTATATGGACTTACTAGGAGTAGAAGTGGCCACAGTAGATGAATGACTGAAGATTTAATATTTTGGGATTCTGATCATCTTTCTGAAGATAGAAATTACTAACATATACATAAAGTCAAGGAAACTCCAAGAGCTTGTTACTTGACCAAGGTCACAAAGTAACATTAAAAAAAATCATCTAAGTTAAATAAGCTCATGAATAGTTTAAAGTGTGTGTGTGTGTTTGTTTTAATGTTCAACGAAGTACCTTTTATGTTGCCACTCTAAAAGTTGAAGGCATAACATTAAATTGAACCTCAAGGAAGATACTTTCACTGGAGCATCAGAGAGAGTGGTTGCCAGATAGTGAACTGGTTTCTTTAAAAATGTTTATATATAAAGTGTATATTTTTAATGTTCATATTATAAGAAGTTTTAGGACTATTGGATCTGGTAGCCTACTGCCTCCAGTAGAGTCAAATACTCCATTTAATATTATAGAATATTTATTATTAGTGTGAAGTATAGAAAGCTTTCACTTTCTTCTGTTGACAAGTATGACATGGAATTTTATTTGGAATTCAGAGTTGGGAGAATTCTGAGAGCTCAGAGACTGATTTGCGTAATAATAAAACTCCAGTCTCCCGTTAAAAAAAAAAAAAAGAATTCTGAGAGCTTATTTACCACTTTTCCCAAACTTATTAGGATAATTTAGAGAATTAAAAAAAAAAAAAGTTTTTGGGCCTCATTATAGATACACTAAATCAAAATTTCTGTGGATGGGACTAAGAATTAATTCCCTGTTTTCACCCCACCTTTCTTCCTTCTATAAGTATTTTTGAGTGGCTTCTTTGTACCAGGCACTGTGTGCTGTTAATTCTGATTTAGTGTACATACATGCAGGTGTTGGAGAACAACTTATTTTTTCTGACAAGTGCAAGAAACGAATTTGTCTTCACATTTAGCTAAAATCATACTCCCTGTATCCTTCACTTTGATTTTTTAAGTGAATTTTTCATCGTATGTACAGAAAAGTGTACAAATCTTCAATAACATAATTTTCACAAAATGAAAATCGCACAGTGTAAGCAGTACCTAAGGACCCTGAGTTGTGTTACTTTTGCATCCCAACACTCACAGTTGTTTTCCCCTCGCCATTCCCCACCCCCTGTCACTGTCCTTTTTACTGCATGAATTAGTTTTGTTTTGAATTTTATATAAATGAAGTCATATAATATTAACTCTTCTTGTGTCTGGCTTTTTTGACTTTACTTTGTGTTCCTACGATTCCTCTATGTTGTATATAGTTGTAGTTCATTTTATTCTGGTTGCTGTCTGATACTTTGTGAATACTCCACAGTTTATCCGTTTTGCTATTGATGGACATTTGCATTGTTTTTCCCACTTCTTGATTTTTATTCTCTGTTGTAGTCGTTCAGTGTTTATTCTCTTCTGTTTTATTAGTAATTTTGAAATAATACTACTCAGGGTTATGATGAAGATTATATAATGATTTGAAAAATACTTGGCATAGCGGTAGACATTTGACAAGAATTTATTCTGTTTACATAAGATAACCCTTCAGGCATTTGAAGACTACTTAAACAACTCACTTTAAGTCTTAAATTCTCTAGATCAGCGGTTTTTTTATGTGGCCTACCTTCTAGACATTCTGATCATCCTGATCATTTTCTCTCCTAGGTTTATTTTTACTGTATGAGTATGTCACCCACACTTGGAAATCAACAATAGAATCCAAATGTTGTTGAGCTAGTATGTACTTATAGGCCCGGTCTCTCTCCTCACACTGGCCTTCTATCAGGATTGCCTGAGATTGCTTAAACTTTTTAGCAGACATGTCAACTAATTGCTCTTACATAGATGATAGTTATCCAAAATCTCAAGTCCTTTTTTGTAAGTATTGCTATTCAGTCCGATTTTTCCCACCTTGTTCTCATGTAACAATTTAAAGCTAAGTGGAAATTTCAGTTTGTCATGTTTTTGAAACTTTATGTTTGATATATAGTCTACTAGCATTTTCCTGTGTAAATTAAATACTTAACCTCCTAGTTCCTTATCTAAGCCACTGAACTCCATGTGCTAACCAGTAATAGAGAACCACATGTTTCAGTAGCAGAGACTTTTTCCTCTAGGTTGTCATTAATCCATTGATAGGCACCCTTGGCTGTGGTTGATAGTATTCTGCATCTAGTCTGTCCTTAACATTTGTATGTTTCTTGAACAAGTATTTATTATTAATCATAGTCACCATTCATTGAGTGCCAGGCACTGTTTTAAGAACTACATATTTTTTATTTCATTTAAGCCTCCTGACAATGCTGCAGGAAGACCATTTCATTTTACAGATGAAAAAATGTGCTTAGAGAGCTTGAAACTTCCCAAAGTCACATAGCTTGTTAGAAGTAGCCCTGGGATTTTAACTCAGATCTGCCTGCCACTTCAAGCCCATATCCTTAATAAACACTTCATTGCTTACTATGTACCAGGATTTGGGAATAGTGTAGTGAATAAGTAAACAAAATAGATACGGTTCTTGTCCTCCCAGAGTTTCTTGTGTAGAAAAAGAGAGGAAAACAAGCTACTTATTATATATTATAATAAATGCTATGGAAGGGAAATGCAGAATGGAGTACTATGAGAGCATAAAAGCAAACCAACTAGATTTGAGGTGCAAGGGGGAGATAAGGGAAAATTTCCTAGACCAAGTGTTGTATAAACTAAGTTAGCTAGATGAAGCCAGTAGGATGATGGTAAGAGTGTGTTACCTCCAAGGAACGGTGGCTCACCCCTGTAATCCTAGCACTTTGGGAGGCTGAGGCGGGCGGATCATTTGAGGTCAGGAGTAAGTTTGTGTTACCTATCATGGACTTGAATTCTCTCATAACAATATTGACTTTCCATTTGATCATTCACTGTGATGAATGTCATTAATATTAATAACTGTTCTTTATTGAGCATATAGTATATGCTAGGCCTTTTACATTTATCTTATTTTCACATCAACCCTGCAAGGTTTGTTAGCCACACATGCACAGAGTGAGACTAACAGAGGTTAACTAATTTGTCCAAAATATTACAATTATGGCCAGGCGTGTTGACTCTCGCCTTTAATCCCAATATTTTGGGAGGCCAAGGTGGGCAGATTGCTTGAGTCCAGGAGTTTGAGACCAGCCTGGACAACATGACAAAACCCCATCTCTACAAAAAAATACAAAAATTAGCCAGGTGTGGTGGCGTGTGCCTGTAGTCCCAGCTACTCGGGGGGCTGAGGCAGGAGGATTGCTTTGAGCCTGGGAGGTGGAGGCTGCAGAGAGCCGTGTTCATGCCGCTGCATTCCAGCCTAAGTGACAGAGCAAGACCCTGTCTCAAGAAAAAGTAAAACAAAAAAAAATTACAGTTATGGAGTAAGCAAGGACTTAAAAACTAAGTTTTATTACGTTTAAAAGCTTTTTGAAAGGTTTTTTCCACTGTGCCCCACAACCATCCAGTCTAAGCATGATGTGATTCTAGTTCTATATCATTGTTAGGCCCTTTGCCTTTAGCAGTGGGCATATCCCTTCTATATTCTTAATTCAAATATGTATTTTTAAGGAAGATCTGCTTAACTTAGAGGGTAGCTTTTTCCCTCCCTTTCCAATAGTCTCACCCTATTTGTTTATTTTTTAAATTCTTTATAGTACTATACCTTTAAGTAGGTGCTTACTTTGGTTGTTGTCCTTGTTTTCAGATGTTTTAAGCCTATCAGAAAATTCCGTATGTAGCTGCACAGTAGTATTGAAGCAGATACGAGTCTCAAAGCCTTAATCCTTAGCTATCTTGCTTTTGAAGAAATACAGAAACTAAAAAGGTTTTTGAGCTTTGGAAAGAGGTCAGTCACTAGTCAGTCAGGTTTCTGCAGTGTATTCTGTGTTATCAATCCATTGTGAATGCTGATTATTCAAAGAAATAGTAGTTGTTTAGATTTAAAATGTTTTAAGTTTAAAATAATAGGTTATTAAGATAGATAGCTATTTATTAATGGCCTGATTTATTAAAATTAGTCATTTAAAATATTATTAAATAATAAAGCAGTGTCTGAATAATTTCTCCTAATGTTCATTTGAGGCAGTAAGGTGATTGCCTACTTTTCCTGTCTTCACTCTTTTTATAGGTATTGATGAGATTGGTGGAATTTGGAAAATGAGGCATTAAGTACCTGGAAAAAAAATTTCATAGGGTTTTACATAATTGAAGGAAAATTAATACTGCTACCTTTAGTAGGAGACTATCTTATTTTACCTTTATGAGGCAGAATCTTGTTCCTCTTTATTGGAGCCACTGGCCACCAGGTGGTGCTTTTTGCATTCTTTACAGAATAACACGACAGTTTTTCCTCTGGTTACTGTCAGACTTTGTCATATTTTAGATAATTAAAATTTCCAATGACAAATATAATGTAGGAAGTTAGAACTAATATGAAACTTCTTGCTATGGTAGATAGCTCTTCAAAGAAGGAAGAGTTTGTTACTGAATTTGTTGATATCCACTGAACTTTAGTGTTGTCTACTTCCCTCTCTCTGATTGTTAGGCTATGGTGGCAGATAGTTTCTAGTAGTTGCCAGCAACTAGGTTATCAGATTATTTCAACCTTTGGACTTGTCCACCTCAGTGCTAAACATTTTATCTTTTATTGGGTGCTTATTTCAATGCCTTATCTGAAATTTATCTGAAATTGTCTCCTAGAATCTATATGGTTCCAAGAAAAAAAGTAACTTTATTTATAAGATTTCTCTTATCCCTAAAAGCCATAATAGAAGAATAAAAATGTTTGTTTGAAGTGTCCTTCCATAAGGTATTTTTCCTTATCGTTATCTACTGTTTTTATTACCTTTAGCACTCTGTGTGTCCAGTCAAGTCATCTTAAGTTCAAGGAATCAGTATTTTGCAGTTTCTTCATTTTTGTTCTGGTGGCTTTTTTAAAAAGTATAATCTCAGCTTGGTTCCATTGTTTAAGGAGAGCTAACCTTATAATTTAAATCTGCATGATACACATATATTAAGTTTTAATAACTCACTAAAATTGTTTTTTAAACAAAGAATGCAGTTTTTCCCCTTACGATTGTGGAGTACTTAAAAATCTGTACACTTTAATTTTTACTTTAACCGGCTTATATCATCCAGGAAACTTGAATACTCGTAGGATCCAAGAAACTAGCTTAATATATTTTAGTAAACACTAAGATAGCCATACTTGATTGTTGACTGGCTTTAAGTCAATGGGAACTGTAGAAAATTTTGCTGTTACTTTCGATCATTTACACTTGGCTAAGAGTCATAGGTTTATCCCTAGGTTTCTGGTATCCCCCAAAATCAAAAAAGAGTGCCCATCTCTTTGGAAAAGTTGTTTTGTTTGTCAGAGGCTGCAGATTCAGGAAAGGTATGAATTGAGTCATTTGAAGGGGGATGAGGCATGATCAGCCCTCAGATCACGAGGCTTAACTTTATAATTTCAAGACATTTAGAAGTCTGGTGGGGATTTGCATTGTTTTTGCCGGTAATTAAAATGGCAATTTTATATTTAGAATTGGCTTAATTTTGTTACGAAAATAAATCAGTATAAAGATAAATATTTACTTTTTTCAAAATAGGTAATAAAATAGACCTGGAAAAGGAAAGACATGTTTCCATTCAAGAAGCAGAGTCGTAAGTACTGTGACCCTCCCATTCCCCATCACTCCCTAGTAGAAGTCGTCTTCTTTATACATTTTGCTTTACCATTTGGGTATTACTCAAATGTCTTAACATAGATTGAGGTATTGGATTCAGTGAAGCATGTTTACATGGTAGTTTCTGGGCTTGTGGCAATAAAGCCCTTCCCTTTTTGACTTCAGTAAAAACTACGAGTGATATAAAACAAAACTATCATGATCAAATAGGCAGTAAGCCACAAATACTTTTAAAGTATTTGAGTCCCAAATTAATCTATAAAAATTTCAAGGCTTATTATATTTGTATTATTTAAAATTTGATTTAATGTATAGAGAAGTTAAAACAGCTATATAAACTTAATTTCACTAAACTTGAATAAATTAATATGTCACTAAAACTGTTACTATAAAAAAGCAGTTAAGACAAAATCATGAATAATATTTTACATCAGTCACTGATGTTACTTTTTTTTAAGGTATGCAGAGTCTGTGGGAGCAAAACATTATCATACTTCAGCCAAACAGAACAAAGGAATTGAGGAACTCTTTCTTGACCTTTGTAAAAGTAGGTATATTCAGATTTGGTTTGTTTAGAAATGGTTTTTGGTTTTTACTTTTTAAAAAATAATAATCTATTTTACACCAGTGTTACTTTTCAAAGAATTGGTTCTTTTTAAACTATTGACTATTGGTAATATTTCTAAAGTGCTGTAACTTTTTTTTTTAATGGTTAAATACCTACTTTAGTTCTGTTTCAAGCAGTAATTAATGGTTATGAAATCGTATGTATGATATGGGCTAAATGTGTATTATAATATTACATGCATAAGTGTTAAAAGTGGAAGGGGAATTTACGTATTAAAACAAATTTAAGACCTGTAATGACCTGCTGTAATGAATGGACCTTATTTGAACACCGATTTGTCAAACTAGTGAAAAAGAGTGTTTGTGAAACAAGATATTTGATTATATTAAGATACTATTAATTTTTTAGGTGTGATTATGGTATTGTGGTTATGCTTTATAAAAGGAGTTCTTGTCTTTTGAAGACACATTAAAATAATTTAGGAATAAAATTATGGGTCTGAGATTTGATTCAAAATAATGGTAGGGATGCTTAGGGTTATGGATGAAATTGGGTGATGGATTTTCATTATGCTGTATTTTCTACTTTATGTTTGAAATTTTCCATATTAAAAAGTGTATAGTTTTAAAGAAAAAGGAAAGTAAATTTATATATACTCTGAAAGTCATTTCTCATATTACCAATAAAATGCATATCTGAGTTTATGGACTTTAGACTCTTTTAAGAATTTGATGAAATCGTGTACACACACACACACACACACACATTTTGGAATAAATTAGTTTTATAAAACCCTCAAGTCATTCATAATTCTTCTAGAATAGTGATTATCTAAGTGATGTCCCGTGATCAGCAGCATCAATATCACTTGAGAATATGTCAGAAATGCAAATTCTTGGGCTCTCCAAGCCTACCAAATCAGAATTTCTAGGGATGGCGCCCAGAATCTGTGTTTTAACAAACGCTTCATATGATTCTAATGCACAGTAAAATATAAGAACCAATGCTGTACATAACAACTTGGGGGTCTTATTAAATGCATATTTTGATTTAGTAGTTGTGGGATTGATTGAGGTCCTCATTTCTACCAGCACCCAAGTGGTGGTGATGCTAGTCCTCAGGATAACCTCCTTCCTTTCCTTTTTCCTCCCTCCCTCCCTCCCTCCCTCCCTCCCTCCCTCCCTCCCTTCCTTCCTTCCTTCCTTCCTTCCTTCCTTCCTTCCTTCCTTCCTTCCTAGCAATGTACTAAGTCCGTGGCTTATAAATGTCACATCTTCAAAACAATTTTTGCATGCTCCACATGTTTATTTAGAAATTTTATAACATGTACAAGTACTAATATGTACATTTTAAAATGTAACTAAAAAATAGAAATTTTGAAAAGTTAAAAATAAGTAGATATAGAATTTGTAATGTTTTCTTATTTCATCTTGTTGGATTGTCCCATATACCTCAACTTGTAAACCATTAATCAAGAGCAGTCTCTAAGAGCCCTTTTCTATTTTAAGGACACCCTCTTTTCTTCCTTCATTTTGTCAAATACATGTTTTGTAAATATTTTCTCCCAGTCTGCATCATGTATTCCATTTTTCTTACCTGTGTCTCTTAAAGAGCAGTTTTAAGTTTCAGTGAGGTCCAGTTTATCTATTCTTTCATGATTCATGTTTTGTGTCTTACATGAGAACTCTTTATGTAAACCAAAGTCACAAAAATTTTCTCCTATGAAGATTTTTCTCCTGTGTTTTCTTCTGGAAATTTGGTTTCATGTTTTACATTTAAGCGTATAACTCATTTTTCGTTGTTTTTTGCATAAGGTGGTTAAGGTATGGGTTAAGGTTTATTTATTTATTTATTTTTACAATAGATGTCCAGTTCTATTAATAGTACTGTTTCTTGAAAATATTATTCTTTCTTCATTGAATAACCTTGGCAACCATGTCAAAAATCAAGAGACCATATCTACGGGGGTCTGTTTCTGGACTGTGTTTTTTTGTTCCACTGATCTCTCTATTTCTTCTATCATAGTCTCACTGTTTTGATTAGTGTAGCTTTACACTAGTTCTTGAAATCAGATAGTGTGAGTCTTTCAGCTGTGTTCTTTGAAGTTCCCTCATCTTAAACTCCATTATTCTTCAAATATCTGGTCAGGGACAGTGGCTTGCACCTATAAGCCCAGTGCTTTATGAGGCCAAGGCCATAGGATCGCTTGAGCCCAGGAGTTTGAGACCAGCCTGGGCAACATAGTGAGACCCCCATCTTTAGCAAAAAAAAAAGAAAAAATCAGCCAGGCATGGTGGTGCATACCTGTAATTCCAGCTACTCAGCAGACTGAGGCAGGAGGATCAATTGAGCCCAGGAGTTAGGGGCTGCAATGAATGAGTGATGATCACACCACTGCACATCCAGCCTGGGTATCAAAGTGAGACCCTGTCTCTCAAAAATAAAAATAAAAAAAATCATTTACTTAAAAGTATTACATTTCTAGTCGAAGAATAAATCCTGCACCCTAAATATTACTTGGAATAATTTGAACTTCTTTGACATATTTCTAAGTAAGTTTGGAAAATCTTAAGGATTGTACTTGTACACAGACATTTGTTCAGAGCAAAAAAAAATTTTTCTTTATTGATGTCACTGTGGCCATTATACCATTGGATAAATAAGCTTACTACTTGATACTAGTTTTTTAAAACATGCAGGTGAAGCTATTTTAGCGAACTGACACAATGTTCATTATATTTAGTTTCTTTGTTGATTGAAAGTCAGAAATAGCTATCATAGTGTTACACTGAAATTTTAGAAAGAGAAAATACAAAGATTGTGATCCTAATAATGTTTTTCTCTCTCTCTTAGGGATGATAGAAACAGCACAAGTGGATGAGAGAGCAAAAGGTAATGGCTCTAGTCAGCCGGGAACTGCAAGGCGAGGTGTACAGATTATTGATGATGAACCTCAAGCCCAGACCAGTGGTGGAGGGTGCTGTTCTTCTGGATAACTGTGTACGCCTAAGAAATTAAAAGACAGAACAAAACTGTGGATCATTTCCCTCAACATGAAGACTGCCATATTCCAAGTCACATTATTTTACCAATGGAATTATAGAATTAACAGTATTTTAAATTACGTTTATAACACTGCAGAGACCTTAAGTGCTAAACTTAGTGGAGTTTGTGACCAGAGAATTGGCATTTTCTACAAATGTTAACAAAGCAATTACCAATGGCCTTTTTACATTTTTTTTCTTTAATGAGGAATAATATGCATGTAGAAAAGACCTACTTAAAGGCTTCATTTATATTCTTTCAAATCAAATCTTTATTTAATAACTTATATATGTTGTTGGAATGGTTACATTTTTGCAGCCCTTTGTATTTTGTGGTAGTTTGAATTGTATCACTTCTAAACAGCAAACTGTTTTTGTTTGTGTTTTTGTTTTTAATTAGCGGATATCTGAAGTACTATTTTTGCAGGGTTTGCACAGGCCCATAACTGTCTACTACTTTGATATAATCTGTATACATCCTGTATGCTGAGCTGGTAAAATACATTGTAAATTACATATTAAATATTTTATCTGCTTTTACAAGCGCAAGGTGCAAAAATATATACAATAGTCTCATTGATGACTGTAAAGTGAATTAACATTTGGTGATTATGCCTAAGCTTTTTTGACTAATATAAAGATCATAACTCCCCTTCACTTCTGTCTTAACTTGAACATGGCGTGTTTAAATTTTCATACATACTTTACTTGAATTATTGCTGTTGTCACTTATTTTTGCCTCTGTGAGTTCATCTGATGATTGAGCAGTAGCATTTGCCTTTTGGTTTCTTTGTTATTATAGAAGAGATGACTTCTGCTGATTTTGCTTTAGAATGGTTACCTTAGAAGAATTTGGGTGGCTCATGTTGAATTTCACTTTTGCAAAAGCTTTAGTTTTCTCATAGGCTTTATAATAGATGGGTTAAGTGGTATGAGCAGAGGAAGTACCCAGATAGTAGCCAGTTACCAAGACTCATTCATACAGCATGCCTGAGGCAGCACTTTTAGATCCTTTGTGAGCAAGTTCTATTTGTTCATTGCTTGCCAGAGATGAACACAGAATGTTCTGTTTCATTTTATAAGAACTATTCTGAGTTTCTGTGGATGGAAACATTACATGTAATGCAGTTATAGTGAACACTGGAAAGATTTATTAAAGAATTATATTTGTGTATACTTTATAAATTAGTCCCTCATTAGATTTTTTTTCTTAAGCATAAGACTGAAATGTGTTAATTTTAGTAGAATCAGGCACTGCTCACAGAAGGAACACAGATTGTAGAAATTAACATAAATTGTTCTTGTTCTAATATATATGTTTTTTCATTTCTGTCATGCTTGGAAAACTAGTAAATATTATGTCTAAGATAAAATGGAATGGCCCCTGGATTTACTTCTTATAAGAAGCAGTAGTATGTAATAAAGCTGTTAACATGAGCAATTAGGAGGCTATAAAGAGATTATAGTTACAAAAGAAATACTGCCATATTTTTAAGTTAATAACTTAAGCCTTCCCAAATGGGTTAAAAGTTGAATGAATTGACACCCTGATGTTACGATGTTAGAATTTTAACTTAAACTAGAAGGCTTTCTGTGAGCCTTCACTTTACCTTCTTTAATTATTGTCCTTGCTAAACTCAACACAGACTTTTCTGTTATGTGTTTTTGAGGAAGTTGGGGTGGGAAGAGTCGGAGATAAGCCAAAATTGTCTTCTTTTATGGAGTAATTGTACTCTTGGTTTCCTGTGAAGTTAGTGTTTATGTAGGGGTGGGGGAAGGCAGCAAGAATCATGAGTATCACTTGTTTTTGCCCTCCTAGCTCTTTCAGACAGAGTGAAGAAAGCTTTTCCATTCTTACTGTTGTAGATGGGAAATACGCTTTTCTCATTGCAGTGAAATACGTTTTAAAAACTAGAGTTGCTGGGCGCAGAGGCATGCACTTGTAGGGCGAGCTACTTGGGAGAGTGAGGCAGGAGGGTCACTTGAGCCCAGGATTTCAAATCTAGCCTAGGTAACACTGAGACTTCCATCTCTAAAAGACACAAAAACTAGTTAGAGATGAAATTGAGCTTAATTTTAAAAACGTTCTAAAGCCTGATAATTGGCGAGCTATGCTTCGGCTTTTCATCGTACTTTAATGAAACAGCTAGATAGGAACTTCTGCTCCAGAACTGCCAGATAATTATTGGTGGGTTATAACTATTCTCCATATATATTTTTTTCTTTTCTCTCCTTTGGTTTCTGTGTTATCTTTCTTAACTTCCCGCATTTCTTTATCCTTTTTAGTGGGGGCCTGTAATTCAGGCTAATTCAACGGCAACAATAGACAACGTGATATGGCTGCTGTCACTTTAAAACCTGAAAGGTCTTTGGGTAGGAACTGAGTAGTGAAAGAGGTCCAGTCAACTTCAATATATATACAAAGGAAAGACAGATGATAAACCAAGGCTGAGGAAATTTTTCTGATACTTTCTTCATTTCTCCAATGTACTTTTTGCATTCTTTTTCTGATAATTGTGCTATTAAGAGGAAGATACAGGTTACCACATTGTGCATTAAAAGCAGTAGGTAGGTTGAGCCAGTATTTTTTCAACTGGTAAGCATATACAGTTAAATTATATAATTAAAAATTGGTTTAAGATAGTGATTAAAAATACCTGAATATAATGTTAAAAGTATACAGTCATTGTTTCTGTAATGGTGATGAGTATTCTGCTTCTTGTTTTTCATTGTAATTACAGGGGAAGATTGTTTTTGAAAATGTATATTGCCGTGCTTTTGGGGTAAGCAGTAATATGAAAAGAAAAAAGCATTATGTTATTGTATGAAATATAAGTGTTCAAATTTGTTTTGTCTGGGGTGTTGCCTGAGAATACCCTAAAGCTATGGCTGTTACTGCATTGAAATCTTTTTTTTTAAATAGTAGCCATATGTTATTAGTGGAGTACTTTATATTTGACATTAAAGGAAGAAGAGTAGTACTTTACTTTTAGATTTTTAGTAATGAAAGATAAAATTTTAAAAATAGGGAAAGAGCGTAGGGAGGAGTAGAATGGAAGTCAAGTAAATAAAAAACTACAACCTGACAGTTTTTAAAATCACTTTGAAAAGTACGTTACTTTTATCAAAGAGTTAATAATTAAGGCAAACTATGCATTATGCCAAATATTAAGAACATTTTGAAAATGGATTGTGATACTGTTTATTTCTTTTATTATATAATTTGCAATTTTCTGTGTTACAAGTGCTACCAGGATTCTACATCGTTGACCTTACATATTCAGATAATACAGTTTACTCTTACAATTACCACTTATATTATCTCTAAAAGTAGTTTGATCTGTGCCTTTAACTTTTAGAATTTATCTTTTGACTTGTTTGCCATTGTAGAGTTTTCCATTTTCTCTGTAGATTCAGTGTGACAAAGAGGGAATACATAATTTGTGACCATTTAAGATGGTGAGATTTTCTGGAAAAGGATATAGATAGTGGTAGTGACCAGCAGGAGCCTCACGATAATGTCTGAAGGTATAAAGACTGAGTAGATCCCTAAGTACTCTTCTCTAAATTACAAAATGCATTACCTAGGCTTTAGTAGTTACAAGCTGGGATTCATTGAACCGCATCTACTTGATTTCATCATATGCATTGATTTTAGTATGTTGCTGTTCCGTTATCTGTAATCAACTATAACAGAGTAATTTATTTGGTGTTCTGGACCAAAATTCGTGCTATACATATGTCTGACTTTGATGGCCTTTATCTTTTCAAGAAAACAGTTGCAATTTTGAGCAAAATTTTCCTAGTTGTAATATTTTAATAGTGTCATGTAATGGAAAAAATTTAGAAATATACTCCTAAGAGAGTTTTCAATTTCAAGCAGAAATGCTTCTCTTCTAAATAAATACCACTTAATTGATAGACCTTTAGCAGTTCTTGTGCTATCTAGGATTTATACATTTTTGCTTTTCTGGAAAACTGCTTTTGCGTGTTAACCCCTCTACTGCAACATTTTCTCTTCAGTAGATACGTGAGTAAACCTGATGAGTTAATGTTACACAGCATACCCAGTTAGGACTCTTCTTCTTAAAGCATCTTACTCTCTTTAGAAGTCTGCACATATTTTCAAATGCATCACATTAAAGCCACAAGTCAAGAGGAGGTGGGGTTGCCTACTTCGATGGCCTTTATTCCCACTATACTAGATCTCATTCTTGATTTTGATACTTCCTGGCAACGGTGTCATCTCTTCACTATCAAGTATTTAAGGAAAAGCTAAGGTGATTTCCTTAAATTTGAACATGTGTAGATCAATGAGAGAAAGGTGAGGGATAGCAAGGATAAAGTATCATGTTGAAAAGTAGAAAGCAGTGGTATCTGCTAAACTCTAGCTTATAGTAGCAAGCTATTTTAAGGAGATCATCATATGTAGTACTTCCTAGAAATGTAAAAGTTCCTCATTTTGTATTTAATTATGTAAGAAAATGTTCTAGGGAAAGAATAAAAAATATATATCGTCAAAGTGCCCTTTGGTAGTGCTCCCAAATGGTAGTAACTGTTGGTCTTTAGTATATACTCCTCAAGTATCTTTTTGCTATGTATTAATATATGTATATGTTTACATATAGAAATACATAGTATTGTGGGTTTTAAGTTTTCACATAAATTGTGTCTTATCCATATGTTTTGCCGTTTGCCTTTTCTCTTGCCAACATGTCTAGGAGCTCTTTGGTAAATACAGACTTTTTCATTTTATTTCCTCTCCTCTCGCATTTCTATGGATGTGTCTTGCTTTTTTTTTTTTTTTTTTTTTTTTAAATAGCCTCTGACTCCATGAAACCTGAAAAGGAATCTGGTCTGTTAGGTGGATTTCATTAGTATCCAAATTTATTTATTTATTTATTTATTTTCATTTTTTTGAGACAATCTCGCTCTGTCACTCAGGCTGGAGTGTGGTGGCTCAGTGATAGTTCACTGCATCCTTTAAATGGCCTCAAGTGATCCTCTTGCCTCAGCCTTCTGAGTAGCTGGGACTACACGTGTAAGCCACCATGCCTGGCTAATTTTTGTATTTTTCATTTTTAGTAGAGATGGGAAGTCTTGCTATGTTGCCCAGGCTGGTCTTGACCTCTTGGCCTCACCACTCCTCCCACTTCAACC